CTCAAATATCTAAAACACATTATTCTGTGCTAGCCCATGGAGTTGTTATATCAAAACTCAACTTCAATCATGTACATTCTTCAGACTTTTTCCTCTTAACTCATCAAAAAAAAAAAAAAAGAAAAAAAGCATTGTGCAATGGCAAAGCATACAGTCTATATAATTGACTTACTACTTATCTCTGATACTGACTTACCACATGGTCCCAATGAAATAATTCACTTTAGTAGCTGTTGCCTTACTGGGAGAATTTACGATAGCATGAAATACATTCATCAGAATTGCCAAGCTACAGATGGACACTTAGTGAAGATCTCCAATTAGTGACATCCACACAGCTGGGCACCTCAGTCTCTCCCACGCCTTACTCCTTCTTCAGTATTCCCATAGAGGAGCCCAGTCGGGAAGCTCTTTTCTGACCTCACGTTCACATACGCTAACAGGCATACTCTACTTCACCTCTTTGCCTTAGTCGGTTACCTCTTTGCCTACATCCAGCTTTTTGAGTTGGACTCAAGACCCCGGAGAGTCTAAGCCTCATACCTTTTTACACCCCAAAACCCAGCTCAGAGCCCTTCTTGTAAGAACCACTCAACAAGTCTTTGTTGGTTGACCACAACTATATTTTAAAATACATGATGAAGAAATGTGGCAAAGAGACAAATGGAATAGAGGCTGGGGGTTGTTTTCATTCATTTTATTTGTTCAGGAAACATCTGGGAGCACACAGTGTTCATGACATTATACCGTAGGATCACTGCTTTCCAAGCACTAGTTGCCCCCCAATGCACGAGGAGAAAGAACATAGAAAGTTCAACAACACTGCAGGAAAAAGTCTAAGCCAGAATGACTAGCGGACACTCAAAGTACTAGCAAGGTATTAGAACACAGAGTGTGGTGGGCAAAGCGTGGAGCACAAGATCAGGGAGTAAGGTTCTGAGTTACAGCTCCAGCTCTACCACTTGCTACTTGTGTGATGCTGCCGAAATTCCCCACTCTGGGCCTCTCCTTCCTCAGCTAAGAAATTGGGAAATTAAGTGTATATCATGGAGTTGTTGTGAGCATTAAATGTTACGATGTACACAAAATATTTAACACCCATGGTAACTGACCGATCACTGGGAATGTTATTCATCTTATTAAGAGTGTTACTCGTCAACTGGCTTCAAAACTTCCTGTCTGCGCAACCTTAATCAAACAAAGTAAACTCTCCACGCCTCAGTTTCCTCATCTGCAAAATGGGAGAGTAATAGCACCTACACCACAGGGTCTTTATTAGGGTTAAATGTTAATATTAGGAGGCTAGACAACAAGTGAGATACTATGTAAAACAGAATTCTCCCTGACACAGAGCAAGTGCTCCCTAAACCTTGGTTAATATTTTTATTACTGCACCTCACCCTTCAAAAAATATATATATATATTTATTTTTTTTTG